TAGCAATAGAAGCACTCCCAGTTGAAGAAAGCAGAACCAGGGCATGCCCACCTGCAGGTAACACGGCAGAAGCAGGCACATCAGGAGCAAGGCCAACTGGTACACGAACAGGTGCAGCATAAGAAGCAAGCACATACTCAGTGTGACTAGGGATCATCATAGTGTGGGAAGTTGAAATGTGGCCTGAAAGAACTAGCATTTTTTTCGCAGAACTTAACGGGGTGTGCAGTAGGGTTGAAACAATGTTGTGGCAGTATAGGTCAAGGAGGGCGAATGGCACGGCATTAATGCTCATCTGTGTAATAGAGTCGACTTGTCAGCTGCTGCAGTGTGCGATAGACATGCTTCTGTTCTCTGGTGTGTTTCGATGCTGTCTGCACAGCGAGAGCGTCTCCCATCTGAATAAAAATCCAAAGGAGGTTAGGGTGCAAGCCGTGCATAATCTAGTCATGAAATATCATAGCTGCTTCGGTGCTCAAATTGTACTTGTTGGCTAAACGATGCAGTACTTGTATGAATTGGACGGCGGTTTCATCTGGTTGTATGAATTGTACGGCGGTTTCATCTGGTTGTAGAACCCTCCTCTGCAATTTGGCACAGATGTAGAGAGTGTCTTCAGCCGATGCAAAGCATGCGTCCAGAACAGCTAAGGCCTGCTGGTACGTGTTATGTGTTGCACCATCTCTGGTAGCCTGGACACTCTCAAGCAGTGTCTGCTCTTCAGCAGTTTTATAGTAGACATATGATAGGATGGCTCACATTTGGGCAGGAGCAATCCGATTTTGCCTCGTCAGCAGCTGTATCGTACATCGGATGCGAAAAGACAGAGAGAAAATGCCCAACACCCAGAGTGCCAGCTGAGAAGAAGGATAATAGCCACAATCGAGACCCAGGTGGACACTCACAGTTAGTCTCAGAGTATGTGAGCTTCTTAGAATACATTTTCAAGCTGTCAGGTCACAACGGGCGCGGATCCGCAGAGCTGACACCACAGGGGGTCGTCAGTAGAGGCGGCCTGAAAGCGGTTATGGCTTCCCAGAATTACTGCTTTGGGAGTTTGTGACAGGGAAGCGAACCGCTTGTGGGGGGGCTGACAGCCCCTGTAAAGTTGTTTGCGCCTAGTGGCGCACGTGTCTCGACCCGAGGTCGCATTTCGGGTGACGACCGCCGGGCGATAGGTGGCGTTGTATTCGCGTTGAGCACCACTATCGTCATCCTCATCATGTGGTAGCGCCGGCAGTGACCCCTGGCAGAAGCGAGCCTTGGTGGCGGGCGAGAGTTGAGAGAGTCTCTTCTGCGCGTGGCGGTAGCCGCGAACGGTTGTCTCTAGCATGGCTCTTCGGCGCGTAACACTGCGGGCCTGCGCGCCGGGGGGCCCACGTGGTAAGTCAAGCATTGGCGACACCACCTTGGGTGTGTTATTGTGTTTGTCATGTTATTGTGTTTGTCATGTTTTGTAGTGTATGAAAATTGTGTGTAAGGACGTCTTAGTGGGTCGATCACAATTGATGTATCATTCGGCGGACGATATCGTCGTCTAAATTAGTTAAATAAATGTATGTATGTATGGTTTGTACCGACCGTGCCAACGGTTTCCTTTCACTCCAAGAGTGCAGCGTGGTGCTAGCTCGCCAATTTGAGACCCCACACGCTGTAGCCGATTTCAGGACGGCCAGGCAAGTGCCACGGTTCGAGCCATGTGGCTGACACGACCGAGGAGCTGAAGCACGAGATCAGGTTACGGTCTATCAAAGATAATGGCCAACATCAGTGGTGCGGCCGAAGGAGAGTGTCCCGCGAATTCCTTTTCTCTTTGGAAGAGCAGGAGCGTATACACTGCTTTTATTTGGGATTGTTTTTAACTGCATGGAAATACACGGTTGTAAGGTAGAATAGAGAGTTCGTTGGGCACGGGCCAAGCAGACGGTGGTGCAATAAATGCTGCCTTCAACCAAACTCTGGCTCTTCCTTCGCATTGCCAGTATGCACTTGGATCATCAAGGAGTTGTCGATACCATCAACATCAAAACATAGAAACCTAACTGACGCAGTCGAATGGGTTGACAGAGTCCACAGCGATGAAGACGCCGGAGCCTTTGTGAGGATGAGCTGCTACGTCATCGTTGCGATTCCGCTGACTGTGAAGGCGTTGGTGTGCCAGCGAACGAGAGGCGTGGAAAGTGGCTGGCTTTCAAGATCATTGGAAGATGTTAGAACACTCTTGGAGCGAGCCTGAAGAAACCGACAGCCATGGTTGCGGGCGTACAGTGGGTTGAAAGACCATAGAAAAAGAGCGTCTGCAAGAGGCAGGTGCTCATCGTCACGGCATTAGCACTTTGGTGAGGGAGGCCTTGCCAGTCTGAAAATAGTGCTAAGAAGAAGGTCGCTTGGCATTGGAAGCGATCCGATGACGTGGAGCGCAGAAGATAGCGAAACATTGCTGTGGTGTGGCAATTGTGTGGTGACGTTTTTATCTGATATTTTATTTCAACGCTGCATCAAGCTTCAGTGCCATCAGACGTGTGGACAGTAGCGGAACCAAGAGTCTTCCGAGCAGGTCGAGACGAGCAGTGACAGGAGCAGCTGGTGGAAGGTATCAATATGGTGTGATATGTTTCGAGCTCTCTTCTGATGATTCTGTTGTGAATGCATTTGCGTTCCAGCACTCTCTGAGAGTTTAGAAATATGGATGACATAGGAAACAGCTCGGATGCTGGTGCCCCCTCAGATGAGTCAAGTAGCACAGACTCAATGAAACTCCAGATTGAAGCTCTCAAGCTTGAGCTGGGAATCGAGAAACTAAAGTATTCCTGCGTATCACATATGATGCTGCGCCATCACGAAGAGAGACGAGAGGGATAGGGGAGTACGCAAAAAAATTAAGAGCTGGTCCTCACCTCCATGCCTACGAATGACACCATGATTCCGGCATGGTTTAAGAACATCGACGCCTCTTTGGATGACCTGAGAATTCTTGAGGAAATGCAGGGCGCTCTAATACTGCCTTTTCTCAGTGACGTGATGACGACGTCAGTGATAGGCCAGTTGGTCAGTGGCACACTCTCTTATGGAGAGCTTAAATAGAAGGTGCTTAAAGAGCTTAGGATGACCCCAGCTGAGTACCACAGACGGTTCTTACATATAAAGAAGGAGGCAGGACAGTCGTGGGGTCAGTTAGCTGCAAGATTAGAAATGATGTTCAATTATTATTTAAGCAGCAGAGAAGTTGATTCATTGAAACAGTTGCAAGCCTTGCTAATCGCGAATAGGTTGAAGCAACTAATGCTTCATGAAATTTGGTTGTTCGTCACTCAGGGCAAAATGAAAGGCTGGTTGCAAGCGATAGAGTTTGCTCAGCTTGCAGCAAATTTTGAGGAATGTACGTCACATATAGTGACAAGCTACCAAGGTGCCGCGTAATCAACATGGCAGAGTCACACATTCTGCGAGCAACTTCCATTCTGATGGCATGCTGTGCTTCGCTTGCAGAGGGCGAGGACATTTTTAGCGAGATTGTAAAACGCAGCATGGCATTGGTGTGGGAGACAAAGAAATTTCTTGTGTAGCCATGAAAAATTACAAACATAAGAGAGCATGCTCTGCGAAGCACTCACATAGCTTCACACATCTCAAGAACACAGGAGTGCATATATTTATCAGGAAAAGTCTATGTAGAGCTCCCATCGACGTTGATGCAGATATTACCGTAATAAGGGCAAGTGAAGTACCAGCTGAAATCCTAAAACAGAGTTGCAGGCACGTGAGGCTCATGGGTGCATTTGAAAACTTCTTCTGCCAACACCCCTGCTGACGACAAATACCAGTCGAGAATGTCCATATAATTGCTATTGCGATAAAAACAACATGGCTCTCTGAGTTGTCTTAGGTGAATGCATAAGGTTTTTCTTTTTTTCTTGCCCTGCTTTTTAGAGGACACTATAGGGGGTTTTTAGTGTGTGGATCGTATGCCCTAGCCACATAGAACACCACTGCAAAAACCAAATAAAATTTGTAAAATCGTGTAGTTTCAGCACAGGGAGATGAGGGCCGAGGAAGTTGGCTTTATGAGACTAGCTATAAGTGACATCAAGTTACGCCCAGCAATATGATCGGTTTTGAAGACAAAGAACCTTTTTTCATCCTTGAATTCATCTCAGAGAAAAGCAGTTTGGACTGCGTGAGTCTACCCTCGGTTGAACAAAGGGTCTCGACACAAGCCAATCTCACGTGGGGGCTCGGATCGCCACAACCAGCTTCGTTAGTTGACGAGTCAGGAACTGGCGCCGCACTCTGCATCTGCCGCATTAATTGCGCTACACACAATGCGCCGCTAATGGTTACCTCATATTAACTGTAGCGTACGTCATGGCGTTTGTATACCAAATCTGCTGATAGCCACATAGATGTACTTAGATAGAATGTTATTCTGTGAAGTGAGATTTTATTCAACTAGTATTCTGTTCATTTAATATAATTGCAACAAAAATATTGCCTGAACAATTTTTCCAGAATGCTCAACAGCATTATGCCACTATTTTTGCATCATCAACTGAAATGAAAAGTGCTTCTAAGATGTCTGGCTCCTTGAGGTTTGCAATGAATCGAAATATTTCTAGCCCTTCACAAGAGCCCCAAAATAATTAATAATGTCATTGAATGTAAATGCAACTTGCTTCTTCTTCAGACTGTGAAGTTAGCTGCTTTGGATTCCTCCAAAATGGAAAACCTTGCTCCTACGAAGGGCTTCAAAATAGAAAATTTTGCTGCTTCAAAAATTGCTCCAAATCAGCAGACATCGGTAGCATCACTGCGGATAGCAAACAAGGGAAATCATATAGAACACAATACCGGCCTTGAACTTCTGTAAAATTGTAAAGTGTTTTTATTTTAGTTTGCAGATCCATACCATTGTAGAGATTTTTTTCTGTTTCTGTTCTGCAAGTGTTGCAGGTTGTCAACTGCTTGTGCAAGCAGCTTTTTCATACTCTGATTAGGCACGTGTTTCTCTTGGAGAAGTGTCAACTCTGGGGTGGCTGGACAGTTCAGTGGAGCATTCGACTGGAGGACATTGTGTCGGTGCCCTTCATTTCGGGCACCAGCCTGGTCATACAAGTCAGGCAGGTGAGCTGCTCCGGTTGTAGACCGGCCATGCCTGCTTTTCCCATTGACAAGCATCTTGTTTTGTTTTGTTTTTTTTTTACAGGATGAGTCTGTAGCAAGTTTTATGGGCAGTGAGCGCTTCCTTGTCTGTCAAGATGAAGGTTTACTCAAATGGCTCAAGCTGAAAATTGAGACCGTGCTGTTGTTCACCATGGAAGAAAGGCCCTGCCCTCTTGATGGCTAAATCACAAGAAATCATTGCTTAACTTGTTCTGCAGAAATTTCACTCTGTGCCCTTCCTTAAAGCAACAGCAAGCACTCCAGTACACAGGCAAGGCCAAAGAAGATCTTTCCGGTGTTTTATTAAAAGGTATGTTATTAAGTAATGTAGTAAACCAGACCAGTTGGAACACACTCATGACAGTCAACATAAAATAGGACATGCAGAACAAGAAAGTATATGACACAGGTGCCAACAACTGAAAATGTAATAGGAAGACTGTAGATATAATGAAAAAGGATAGCACTACCGTCAACTTATCACTTCCAACCAAGCATGTGATCACATGTGCCGTAGAAAGGAAGATGAAGGGCATAGGCAGCTGACAGCTGCACGAGTGTGCCAATCAGTCGTTGTGGCTCTTGCCTGTGGTTTTCCTCTATAAATGCATCTTGTACAGAAGCCACCAACCCCGTAACATATTGGTGTGGGGTGCTGGTTAGAGAATCAGGCAACGGAGCTCCGCAGTGGACGTCGCATAGCTTACCCAGCAACTTCACCAATACGAAACCTCAGCATCGGTGAGTGCAGTTAGAAAGTTGGCTCATGTACCCGTGTTTCACTTTTATTACTTGAAATGCCTCTGTAATTTCATCCCTGCGCAGGTCCTTAACCCCTTAACTGCTTTGAACGAGGAGAGCTCGTCCTGCCTAACTGTCACCAAACTCTTTTGGACAAGTAAAACTCATTCAAAGGAGTGTAGTGGGAAGGTGACTCATGCATAGTTCGCCCGCAAATGCAAAAAAGAAGCTATTCATTTTCATCTTCTTTGAGTGATGATGATTCAAGTATAAAGTGGCAAATATGAAGTGGCAGCAGCAAGCACAAGACCAAGTTGACTGGCGGATTATGGGAGAGACCTTTGTCCTGCAGTAAACGTAGTCAGGCTGATGATGATGATGATGATTCAAGTACAGATATTTATTTTGTGTCCGAAAGTGAAGACAGCGATGACGGTGAATGAGTAGCTCCTCCGGTGATGATGATGATAGCTGGGACCCGAACATTGCGAGTGCCCGCCAGTGAAGCCGCCTTGCATTATTCCGCGTTTTGATATTTTCCACACAACCCCAAAGCATCCCAAGTGAAATACCTCGAGAGTGCTTAGCTTACACAAGTAAAAAAAAATGTAGTGTCTGTAACTGTTTTGTTTATAAAGTTTTAATTTTATTAGTAGCAGGTAGCTGGTTTCCTATGTATTGTTCAGAAATAAACTTTTTTGTGTTTATTTGACTAAGTACGGGGTGAAAATATTTTTTCAACATAAACTATCTACTTTTTAGTACAATGAGAATCGAAATGGATCATTAAAAAAATAAACACCGTTTGACCAGAAAAAAAAAATACTTTAGAGGTTAAGAATGCATCATCACTACAGCAGCTTTGTTTAGCTCGGCTGCACAATTGCACTGCCGGCAATGAAGGGATGGACACGTGATGGTGTACTCTTCAGGTAGCTAGTATGCTCTCTTAGACAGACATGAAAGATCGTTCCGTCTGCCAAATGTACGTACCACCATATGGCAAAGGGATGGAGTACACCACTTCGCTGGCACATTCAGTGAAATGCCTAAAGTGCTTTATTGAGCACAATTCACCGCTGGCAGCAGCTAGCTTGCTCCTCTGCACCCTTTTGTCAATGATCGTGCACACACTTCCTAGCCTTTTGCCAGCACAGAAGGTATTGTTTATGTCATAATGACCGGCAATTGGTGACACCAAGTGCAAATATGGGATAATGGCAAACTTTCTTTGCTAATCCATGGGCAAAAGCGTGGCACTTGGCCCTCTTTGTGATCCCTCTTCAAGCATTGAAACAATTGCTATGAAGTGTAGACGTTTCTTTTGGGCAGGGTCTGTACATAACGAAGTCAGGGGACTTATACAGCCCCAGTACTAAGTAATATATACTTTGTGTAAGTGGACCGAGCCTTTGAACAAGATTTCAAGGGTATTGCACAATATGTTTTAGATACGTCAACGTCTACTTGGTTTTTGTTGATCACGTTGATTTTATGGGGTCTATTATCCAGGTTCCAAGCATACGTATAAGCAATGGGGCAGAGGTTGATGCTGTGCTTCTCAAATCCCAATGGACAATGTCTTGTCATTCTAAGATTCCAGAGGGATCATGTTTGCTTGTGTTATTCCCTCCATTTGGCTGAATCACTTTTAAGCTATTCCTCTGGTTATTCAAAAATTGTAAAGAATAGATTGGCTATGTCTGTTTTTATTCGGCTTTAATGAAGTTCTGTCTTCACACTGTATGTGAGAGTCCTTTACTGCAGGTTGACAGTTTGGAAGCGGCTGGTTTTCCACGCTTGGTCCTTGCCTTTGCTTAACAGCGATTGCTTCAATGCCTGGGAAGTGTAGAAAAAGAAGGTCCAGATGCTGCAGTTTTGCCCTCAGATAGGCGAAAAAAGTTTGCCATCATCCAATATTTGCACTCGGTGTCACTCTGTTTGAAAAAGGTTGCCAGTCATTATGACATGGATGTTGTCTTCTGTGCTGGCAAAAAGCTAGGAACTGTGTGCGTGAGCATTCACTAGGGAGCGCAGAAGGGGCAGGCCACTGCCAGCAGAATGGTGTACTCCATTCCTTTGTCGTGCGGTGGTATGTACATTGGGCGAATGGGACAATGTCTCAATGCCCGTCTAACTCTTTCGTTACCATGCCTATACAAATCAATCACGAGTGATTGAAGCCTTGAAAAGTGTAATTCGACATGTTGAATTTGCTTCTTATGTACCTAGCACACCTAGTGGCTAGTGCAGCCACTGGGCATTTAAAATCAGTTTCAATTTGCTAGTTTTTGCAACATAGTGATGTTTGACAGACAATTGTACAAAACAATGTGTGTGTAGTGTTAATAAAATGTGTTTGGTTGACGAACTTAAGACACATTCATGTAGGTCATGATTATGCTTCATTAAGTTCTGCAATAAAATGAGCTCTTATAAGTGAAATATTAAAATGTGAAGTTCACTTTGCAATCTGATGCTGGTGGGTGGAAACTGCCTGAAGTTTATGACAGCTATTCACTAAAGTGCTGTTGTTTAGTGTCGGGGGGAGATTTATTCCACCAAAGCTTACTTCCGAAGGTCTGCCACATGTATAACATGTGTAGATCACCTTTTCTGCTAGTTTCCAGCAGTTCTGATTTTGCTTCCATTGTTATACCGAGCACAGGCTCTCACCCAGTATCGCTATTTGCTCCCATGGCATCGTCATAACATGCGCATGGGTGCCCACCTGTGCCGCAAAAAATGTGCATGCTGTTCGAAAAGGTATTGCAACACCACTTCTGAATTGAGTGACAATCAGCTTTATGTCGAAGATTACAGCACCTCGGCTTCAAGCTCTGACGGCGACAATGTCTTGCATCAGCCTGGGACATCTGCAGCCGTTCGGGGCTTGGTTTCGTTTACGGCCTCAAGTGGTCTCTCCTGCCACGTGTTCGTAGCTACTGACCTTTGTGCGCCATCTTAGAGCTATTCTGGTTACATTTGAGGTCCACAAGGCGCTGGCAGGCAATGTGCTGGCACCAGCTGCAATGCTGCTTTTAGGTGGCTTAAAGCTCACCTTGGCCCCACTCTACAAAGCAGCATGAGACATTGTAGGACTGCACGTGATTTTCAATACAATCTACAAAATACAAATAAATATGCTTGGATGCATATTTTGAAACGCTAAGCTATGAAGAGAGAGGTAGCTCATAGGAAAAGATTGTGATGGGAGAAGTGGTGAAGTTCACAGAAATTCCAATATACATAGCAATGTATAAATTGGAATTTATGTCAATTGTATAGGTATGTAAATTGAAAACCGCAATGTGAACAATTCCTAGGCATTGTTCACATTGCAAGCATTCATCTATATTTGAACACCTGCAGGCTCTTCTTGAAGAAAGCAAAGATTTTGTGTGAAAAGTGCACAAGTGTAGCTGTCTCACAAACAAAAAACAGGAAGTGCTCTACTGCATTGTGCGGGCAATAAAATAGTACTTTTGTTTGAGTTACTTGTTTGTGTTCATGAGCAACACAGAGCATTTATAATTTTTTTATGCTATTCCTAGGTCATTGATCTTCAATATGTAGGTTTTGAATTTGCTTTGAATTGAATGTTTTTACATATATGGTGTCTTTATTGCTCTGTTAATCAGCTGGCAATAAGAAATTGCACTTTCAGATTTTTCTACATTCTACAATATTTTTGTTGCTTTACAACTTGAAATTTTTAGAAAGAGCATTTCATAATGCTTAATTTAGTATGCTGCGACGCATGCGAGAATACTTTTCAAACTGGCAAAAGTTTTCTTTCCAAAACATATGAAAAATGACTATTTTCTCATGGTAACGAAAAAGCTAAGAGAGCATGCTAGCTCTCTGAAATGTAGACCATCCGCGCATCTGTCCATGCATTGTCGGCAGTGCAGTTGTGCAGCCCAGCTAAACAAAACGACTGTAGTAGTAAGGCATAAGGACCAGCGCATGCATAAAATCCCAGAAATGTTCAACATAACAAAAGCATGAGCCAGCCTTCAATTGCCCTCACTGATGTTTCTTATCTACAACATACATGATCACATGCTTGGTCGGAGGTGATACGTTATTGCTGGTGCCTTCCTTGCATGCCATGTTTTTCCCGTTAAATTTTCTCTTGTTAGGCAGTGCTTGTGCCATGTACTTTCTTCTCTTTGTGTGTGTCCTTTTTTGGGCTGACGGTCATGAAATATGGAACGACACATGCAACAGAGATGTCGTTTTCAGCAATGTACTGTAATTTTCAAGAACCAGTGATTTCATGTGCTCAAGCATGTGCTTTTTTCTGGGCTTTAAAGCCGCAAGATTTTGTGACATGCATATGGTATTTTGGCTACAGTAAACTCCAATCAATTGAAAGCCATTTTTTCGCAGGGTCCACATGTGTGAATGTTTTGCATTGCCCACCCAGATGTAGCGACCTTCCCCCAGTTATAGTGCTTTAGTGAGCTTCTATATTTCAATTTCTAATAATTGTGAGTTATTCCTTTTTTGTAGTAGCTGACATATAAAAAGGTCTTCTGTTGCACCAGTTTGATAGCATTTGCCACAGAAATGGGCTCATTTTCACTGTTTTTTTTTATTTACTGCATATAATATGACCATGCAGGCTGTGACACATCAAATGACTAGATTCTCTTCATGTTTGTATTATTTATTCATTTTTACAAAAGTGATGAGAGGGCATGAGAAAAAAAACAGGTGTGATGAAGGATTTCTATGCAGGGAATGTGCTTTGACAGGCAGTCCAAATGTCGGCTGCAGCACACAATCCCTGTTTATGAATTTTTCATGAAAATGCATACATTAAGCAGACCAACGTAGCTTAGCTACTAGCCAGGGCCATGTAAAAATGCCATCTATTCTCCAATGGGAAAAGCTAATCTGTGGCAAAGATATGGCAACAGCCTTGGAAAGCCAATAAAGTCTAAGCGGCAGCAGTAGGGTCTGCGTATATGCAAAGCATTCTGTAGGGCAATGTTACTTTGTTGAAATACCACAGCAGAAACTTTGCTGCATTAAATATTTCATGCTAATGAAATACCTACTTTAAGACAAGATTGTGCAACGAAGATCTAAAGTTTCCTGAAGAAGATGCAAAGTATGCATTGTTTTGAACATGACTATCATGATGTGGTCCAGCTCCCACTACTGTATGCAGTTCTTGTGGTGCCAAAAGGTGTATAGCCTTTGAGGTCAAATCCTTGCTTTGATGCACTATCTCAGCTAATGTCAGAAATTGTATAAAGGCAGAGCTGGTATTTTACGCTCTCTTAAAGCTATATAGCAACACTTGAGCACTAGTGGCGTCATCTTAAAATAAGTGCGCATATAATTTAAAACTTATTATAAACAGGGTGTTGGAGCTGAGCACACTCTATATTGGTCTGGTTCAGATAGATAAAAAAAGGTTTGCAACAGTTTGCAACTCTGAACTAAGATAAAAAAAGGTTTGCAACAGTTTGCAACTCTGAACTAGTTCGCCAACTGGTTTGGCAGAGTACACAGCATCTTCAGCATGTTACACCAGTTGTTACACTATCACGCTAGTTCTAGAATGTGTGCCTGCTGGAGTAGCAAGCTGTGTGTTGTATTTCAGTGAAAAAAGTGCTGGTGTCAATGATGTTTCATACATTCACTAGCCCTGTGTAACCTGAATTGTAATTTGTGTTCCTATTTAAGCTGGCATCTCTTTGTGGGCATGTGCACTGTAACAGCTTACAGCCTGTCATCTCTAATAGTTGTGAAAAACTCACTGAAGAGTGTACTCCTCTCAGCACCTATCATTTTCAAAGCCTACCAGTTTTGTTTTGTTTTATTTCAGAGTCAATACTCATTAGTAAGAAAGTTTAGGGAAAGTATGTGTACTTCCATATCAAATGCATAGCAAGGCCCTCTGTACCAGTTATTTCTGTAGATTACGGGAGTGTTTCTTATGCAATTCTTCACTCTGATAAGTATTCAGGAAGTTTTATTGGATGAGTAAAAGTAGCAATTTGCAATTTTAAACCTCAAGAAAAAAAAAGAGGCCCACTGTTTTGATCAAGTGAGGAATGTGAAAAGCCCTAATAAACTCCAAGGAAGCACCCTCTGTTGCTTTCAGAGGAAATATTAAATAGCGTTTTGTCATCCAGTCTTTGTTGACATTTTTTCACAAGTGGGAAATGTTTATAAATATCATTTGAAAAATAAAATAGATCTGGCTGTTGTAGCAGGCAAAGTGCCATAAATCTACATTTTGAAATTAAGTGCAGCATATAATTGAAACCTCACTATAAACAGGGTGTTGGAGCTGAGCACACTTTATTTTTCTGTAGTTTGGAGCGATAAAAATACATTTGCAACAATTTGCAACTGTGAACTATGCTTCACCAACTGGCTAGGCAGAGTACACGGCATCTTCAGCATATTACACCATGCCATTGAACTTATGGTGATAAGGGCCCCACTGCTCAGGTGATCTGGGCCTGCAATTGTGAAAGCACATATTGAAAACAACAATGAATATTTTAATACTCTAGAACTGTACGGAAAATAGCAACAGTGTACGTACTCATCAGCACAGCCATCTTATGAACACGGTGTAAAGCGAAAGTTCGCACACTCCTGAGCTTCCTATGCATGCTGATTGAGAACAGCAGAGGCTAAAAGAAAAGTTTGAAAAAGATGAACGCTGGAAAAGAGTTTCTCTGGCAAGAATAGCATTTACATGATTTGGTATGTGTGGTAGAGCACTGCACAGACCAGGTTGTCGTGCAGGTCCAGGTTGGCCTCAAGCCTGAGTCAGGCTTATTTTCAGCTTTGGTTGCATACTCGTAGGCTCAAGTATATATAGTATGCTTTTCGTAACTTCAGAAAACTACCTAATATAAATATCACCTTTCCAGGGGCTCCGGAAGTATATCTAGCTGATGTGTGAGGCTGATTATGTCTGAGCTGATATTGTAGTGTATGTGTGCGTGTGCGTAGGCGAGTTTGCGTGCATGTGCACGCATGTACACAATCTCAACAACTAAACTATGCTTTGTGGGGAAATTTATCACGAACAAATGAGGTACCATGACGTGACTGCCTGGTGAAATTATTATGTGGAGTTTTTCTCGGCTGCTGGGAGATAGACGTTCCCTGTTCAGCTTGCTCCCAGCTCGCGCAACCTTTTTTTTCTTGTGTTTTGTAGTCTTTTCCAGAGCCTATATCGACCAAATGACGCTGATGTCATGTCATGAAGTATATAACACGTTTACTGGAAACAAAGTTGAAATCTTGAGTTGAATTTACCTGCAGCCAGTGATGAATTCGATCTTCTTTGTCCACTTTCTCTTCCTTATGTGTAAAACATGAGTATATAAATGTTTCCTTGCATAACTTTTCTGCTCGCGCGTCTGGTATGCACAGCCAGGTAAGAACCTCAATGGGACGCTAGTGGGAAATACATGAAGTTCAGCTGAAACATACAGGGATATTGAAAAATGCATGCAGTATTGATTGGGTGTGACATAGTAGATTGAATTGTGAGCATAGATGTCTGAAGCGATGTCGTCACGAGTCTCATAGCTCCCAAATTCAAATAATTAGACGCTGCCACGATGCATCACCATGTGTACGAATGACTCCGGCGTAACTGTGTGTTTCGTGATCAATTGCTGCAATGGATGTGGTTGCAGACTTTGAGCCAACAGAGTTGAATTTGAGCAATCTGAAATGATTCCCCATGCTCTAGTGGCAGCTCTTCTTGCATATGTCTGGCAGCAACTGGCAGAAAGCAAAGCCGCATTTTTGTCGATGGTATGCAAGGTCTTTGATGAATACTGTTTATGTACGCCTATTTTATTTTGTATTCTTAATGATGGAGATTTTGGTGGTAGAGAGGAGAGGCTCCATGCAATCCACTCTTTATTCGAATTTGGCATGCATATATCTGAAGAGCAGGTGGGACATTGCGAGAATAAATTCGCCACGTTATTAAAACCATTGAATAGTTTTCTGCGGTACAGCGGGTGAACACGTGTGAAATTCGACACAGAATCGCTGCGAAGCACGTCTCTATAAATGACGTCAACATCACTGGGGTGAAACTACATCCGTAATGACTGCCCACATGAAAATTGGTAGCGAATTCCCAGCTGTGAATTGAGTTTTCAGCCAGGTTTTCAGCATAAAATAGCTCGCCAAGCTGGAAATTTCCCGTTATCTGGTGGAAACGGCATTTTCAGACGAGAATGTGTTCTATTTGCAGCTTGAAATGGTGTTTCCAGGCTCGAAATGGAAATTATTCTTGACAGGAAAGCGAATTTCTAGCTAGAAGTTTTCCAGTCTCCATGGGAAGTTATATATCCAGTGGGAAAATTTTCCAGCTCAGTTGAGAAACAATTTATTCAGCAAGAAGTTATACTGTTTGTGCGGAGGAATGGAATCCAGCTACACCAAAATTGCTCTACAACTGATAGATTAATTTAAAGATGATTAGAATATTCCAACACATAGTCAATATGTCACATTTTGCCAATGTGATCTTGAATGCCCTTTACTGCTGGGATTTTTGCTGGAAAAAAGTTAGGCCAAGGGTAAAATGCAATTTTATTTACAGTACTACGCAGACGTGCGCCCCTCGACATGATTTTACAAATGTTACAACTGCATGACGTCCAACCAGGTAATTGCTTGCTCACTTGCTCATTGAGCCATTGCAGCAAACAGCTAATGTTTTAAATATTATCAATTAATTTCTCATGAAAAGGAGCTGTACTTACAAAGTTCATCATTCACTGTATGTGCTAGCTTGCTCTCGTTGATGCAGCGGCCATGAAAAATGTCACACTGTCGATTTTTGTTGACAACTCACCAGCGCTATTCTTGTATCATTTCTAGGTGTTTTCCGACAATGATGCGAAGCAGTAACCGACTTTATATTATAAATATAGCATGAAAAAATTGTATTCTTTATTTTTAATGGTAAGATTATGTGTTCGCTAGTCTATAGGGAGTTTCTGTGAGGTATAACTGTGTGGATGTTATACGAAATAGTTATACTTAGTCAGCTTTATCTCTGGGAACTGTTACGAGTGATGCCCAGCATGTTCGAGTGGTTCTTATTCTTGTACTGTGTGCGATGTCTTGGATACCTGAGCGCCGACCAAGGGACGGTGATTTTCTCAGCTCTGATTCTTTCATTTGGAGCTAAATGTCGCACTTATGTATTTCTAGTATAAATGAATGTCACACACTTCGATGGAGGCCCCGCTGATCTAACAGCGGCGTGTGACACACTCACAGGCTTCCTCTTTGCGCTTCGGCCTGCGACGCTTAAAAGGCCTCCAAGTGGTACATTTCAAATTTATTTGCAGGCCGGTCGACCCGTGCGGGGTTGTACGTGTAGTGGTGTTAGAGTCTAACTGATGTACTCATTGAGCAGACATAGACATTTCGTTAAAAACAAACAAGCATTTAATTAAAACAAGGGCAATGGCAGGAATCAACAAAAATGAACTAAGAGGAAAAACACAGAAACGCTCAATGAAAATAGCTGCTACAAAACGAACTGTACACTAGAAGAACACAACAAGTAGATACAAGTATACACAATGCAGAGTGTTAATAAAGTAGTGACACGATGGAAACTAAGGAAGATACAAAGAAGAATCGCCAAAAAAAAAAGTGCTCATGCTTCTAGACACACAACTGAATATGTATAATAAAATAACGATTGAAAAAGAATCACCATAAAAAGTTCTATATGGACCAGTATGTGCAGCTCGTGGTTCACGTAGGGACGTTGACGAGGTGCCACTCATGGTCTTGCAAGCTTAAGCAGACAACGAGGGTGCCCGGTGTTCCAGCTGTCTTAATAAGTTGTGCGGGACACTCCGTGCCCGCCGCCAACGCGAGACTCGCGACAACGATGACCACGCTTCTCACTGGTTGACCTTCAGCTGCCGAAGCAGTGAAATTTTCTTCGGGGTGTACGCATATCCCCCTCAAAGTCATTTTCCCCGAACGCATATGTGCCCTTTTCGCTGCAGATGTAGGGAAGATGCAACGACACCGTTGCCGAGTCGTTAGTTACCGGAAGTCTTCCAAGTTTAAGGCACCCTCCCTTCAATGAAAGGGCATGGTCGAGAATGCTTGAGAGAGAGAGAGAGATAAAGATGCAAGGAAAGGCAGGAAGGTTAACCAGACGCACATCCGGTTTGCTACCCTGCACTGGGGAAGGGATGAAGGGGAGAAAAGAGGTTGCAGAGATATGAGAAGGTACACACAATCACGAGAATGCTTGAAATTTGTGACTGAACATTTGGCCTGAATGTTCATAGGCTTATTAATCATGCTGTCATGCTACCCGACTGTATGCAATGTTTATATAAGCGACCGGTTTGTGTAAGCAGCCTTTGTCTCCAATAATCCTATGGTGCACATGCCTCTTTTTTTGGGAGTAATTTAAGGTCGAAATAAATAATTGTCTCATACCCACAAAATGCTCAAGTTGGGAACTGTAAGCATCAGTGGGGTAACCAAGGTGTGACACTCTTACCCCCCCCTCCCCCGGTTTTAAATGTGAATGCATTCCTTAGTTGGGACATGTCAGGCATCTGTTGGTGTCCGCGTGCCGACAGGTGTTATCTCCCTGCTCTCACTCCCTCTCCCAATAGTGGCAGCTGTGGGGGCGCATGCTTATTTTCGCCCCTAGAAACTAGTGCAGGTGGTGCGGGAGGAGTAGCGGGAAGTAAGTAGAGAAAAGCAGCGTGCTAGCTATGTCATGTGAAAGTGCTGTCTATCTTTTAACTGAACCACCATGCCCATAGAGTAATATACAAACAGTTAATACAAGGTCCGTTCGATTGGCCTTTTACTGCATCAACCAGTTTCTGGCAGTTCAGATGGCAGTGCAGACAGAGCTGGACTGATGCAGCACCAGCTCAGCTAGTGCACGGGTAGCGGGACACTAGCTCTTCATTGAAACGAACGCTGAGGTGCAGGTAGTGCAGCTAGTGTACCGCCGGTAGCGTGCCAATGGCGCCGTGTTTCTCACTTGTTCGCTGTGCGCTTGCATGTGTTTAAAAGCATTGGAGTGCAAACCAGCCAATTTTGCCCCCCAAAAAAAGGCGCAACGAGTGCAGCCGTTGTGCAAAATTTTAT